AAAACAAAATGGCCGCCAGTCGGCCTTTTCGAACCCGATCCAAAAAAAAAAAATGACGTGCATCAAGGTCTTATTATGTTTAATGTATGTACCAAATTTGAACAAAATCCGTCCATGCATAACTGAGATCCGGGTCCGGAATGGTGAAAATGTGCGATTTTTGATGCAATTTCGGCCTTAAAATGGCCACTATTCGGCTATCGTTAATCGGATCATGAAAAAAATGCATGTGCATATGTCCCATATAATGTGCGATGTATGAGTGAAGTTTGAACTTAATCGGTCCATGCATGTTCGAGATACAGGTGATCACGGACGCACGGACGGACGGACGCACACAGGGCAAAACATAAGTCCCCGTTTTCGGACTGCGTCCGAACAGGGACTAAAAAGACAACAAATGCATCTCTTACCCCCATTGTGCAATATACAGCGGTTCAATGACCCAAGGGATTTCATTAACAAATGTAATGGCACCAGTGATGTGATATATAACTTTAACATCACGGATCTGTTCCCATGGCATCGGCATGTTCTCCATCAATTTCATAACAGCATGAGGCATGTACTTCAAAGCGCTTAAACAAACATAATTGTTAATCAGACAACAAATTAAAAGTAAGAAAAAAATTTCAAAATGCATTTTCAAATGTTACTGTAAAATTAAAATTTCGCTGATTTACAGTTTCAGGCATATTCAGTGGTCTTTAAATTCACGGTTTTATCATTTAGATAATGTGTACTACCGGGGTATGCTAAACATATTCACTGGGGTTTAATTTAGCGCATTTTCCAGTCAGCGAAATAAGCAAAATTAAAACCCAGTGAATAATTAACTCCTTTACAGTAGTTTTGTTGCAAATAAATTATTCATTTATTTCCACACAGAAGCGAGTATTCTTACCCAAGATAAACTCTTTTATCATGCCTAAATTTTCTGTTTGTCATATCACCATGATCTCTGATTATTTTTCTGACATGTTCAGGTGGCATGTCTTCCTTCTGTGCATCTACGAAACCAAACTTTCGTTTCTCTGCATAACGTTTTGACTGCAGTTGTTGCCATTTGCGTGCTGTGCAAATAAAAGCAAAATTATTAAACACAAGTAAACTACTTTCATTACCAATGCACTTATTTGAGGGTCATTGGGAAGATAAAGTAAACTATGTTACCCTTGTTAAATAAAGTTTATTATTATTAATTTTGCAGAACAAAGCTTGAATTTTTTTGTAGCATTAAAATAAACCTGAATATGAATGCCTTTGTATTTTTAAGTCACAAACAGTATACAGTTTAGGTATGATAACAAAAAATTGGATGTCAATATAAAACTTGCCCTTTTCCTGCAGTTTCTCTTCACTAATATGTGGTGGCTGATGATGATGCTGTTGTTGCTGCTGCTGCTGTTGCTGCGGCATCAGTCCTGGCATCATACCAAATGGCGGACCAGGCTGCATCATAAACTGAGCAGCCATTGCGGCCAACACCAATTACCACCTGGAACAAGAAAAAGTATGATAAATCATTTTTACGAGAGTTCCTTACATCCAGAATTTAGGAGAGCATGCAACTACCGGATATGTATGGGGTACTATAATATGAAGATCTCATTTGTGAGCATGTCAATCAAACTTGTATCTAGCAATGGTATCAGAAGACGAAGAAAACACTCGCAAAAGTACAGAAATGAGAGATGTTATCGTATTCAAAACGGCTTAAGGTAGCAGGATAGTTTTTTTGCATGAAAAATGTAAACACCTATAATCGGAATAAATTTTACAAGAAACCATACAATCTATATATATTTAGAAAGCTCTTGACTTGTATTTTCCTACTATTAATATTTTGCGAACATTGTGTTTGTTTTAGCGTCACGTGATTCTGAAAATCAGCGGGACTGATAATTTAACTAACGTGAATAGAATTTTAATTGTCATCTCTACAGTCATTCATGCGATCAAAAACTTTACACTGTTTTGAAGCAAAGGTCATGAAGTTTAAATCCGTATTTCTATTTTTTGCATTAAGTTTTTTTCTTCTTTCCGAAAATCACAAATTTCAAGCACGTTTTTTGGTGTTAAAGTTAGAGTATACCGGTGGTTTGCACGAGGTTTGTGAAAAAACGCAATAGAATTTTGCAAATATGCAAATACGGATATGAAGCCAACATATCCAAGAGTAAGAAAAGGTAAACGGCGACATCGTAGCGCTATTCACTGAAACGCCATTTAAAATTAGGTCAACAGTAATTGCCAAAAACCGAACACCGAGAAATCGGCACTTTTATGATTTCAAACTTCAATCAACGTTAACTCCCGTTTTAGGAGCAAAATTTACATGGGCTAATTGTAAATGAAATGCTTTGAAAGTTGTTTTCGGGAAAGAATCATGAACCGACATTTATATCTGTGAAAAACTTTGTTTTTTTGCCGTTTTTTTTCACGCTATGGAGTTTTGTGACGTCATTCATTAAAGCTTGGATTATGCAAAGTGGGCGGTTCTGTTTGCGAGTAACAAACAATACAGACACTACACTTGGCAGTTGAAGTGTTTGCAAATACAGTGTATTTATTTTTGGGCCGTTGTGTTTGTAAACTTATTAGTTCAAGCTAGCCCTGCGTACAGTTCTGTGTGTATGGGGACGCGTTCGGTTGATAGATGTCCCCACCACAGCCCTGCGTACCTCCATAGACAAG